TAAAAGTTAAGTCAGCAGGTCAAACTGTCTACCCGAAAAGGTATAGAAACAGGGAGCCGACCTGAGCAAGGTAAGTGTCCGACTAAGGAATGGCACAGACAGTTACAAGGCCATATCCTTTATAGTCATGCTCAGTGTTGGCTGCATTTAATCAGCTTCATAGTTGATTTCCATTACTGAACACATGCTGCTTTTAGTAGCAGTTTGAAGATAGGCAGTGTATTAAATACGGTTTCTTTGTATGAAAATGTAAGACAAAGGACTTTTCCCCCATGTTGATTAATGGGGAAAATCCTCATCTTATATTGAGTAAATATGCTAATTTGCTCAACATTTTGCATTAAAAAAAATGTGTTTATTAAGAAAGGTGAGCATGAACAGACTCTTGGCAGCATCCAGGAACATAGCATATCTTAGGACTTGGTGTTCAACAGCATTAAAATAACCACACTTTTGTAAGTTCAGCCTCCTGGCATCTGTAAGAATTAAGTATTGTTGTTCAATAAGAATGCATCCGAAAGGTTCTTTATGTACAAATTTAATTATATCCTAGCCCTTCTCTGATTCAGATTATTTCAGGTGAAGACTCTACTCTCTCTCTTTGGCTCTCAGCAAAGAATTGCTCTCATTCTGTCCTTTTAGAAAACAGAAATGTACCATACATGGTACAGGTGGGGAGCAAAAGTCCCCCGGATGTGGGATGTTACAGCGATGTTTCCCATACATTTGCAATCTGAGTTCATGTTCAAGAGGATATAGAGCACTTTCTCATTCCTGCATCAGTGGTTAGACCCCACAGGCTTTTGTGTCACCAATCTTCATAAGATACTTCTTCCCTATTCTTACATGCTTTGGTAAGCAGCAAAGAAATTAATGCCATCATCTGAGTTAGCACTGTTGACATGAATAGGACATCTCATGTCTTAGAGTTATTGTTTCCAGCTCTCTGCAAACTCAGGTAGATACCTCCACATTGATTAAACTCACTTCACGTTTTGAAGGGTTTCCCCCTGCAAACATCCTTTACTACTGGAGGATAACTGAGGAGTCCATTCACACTCCACACATTGAGAAACACTGGAACCCAGAATGCCAATAAGCATTCAAAGACAAAAAGGAATGATATAATTAGAATAACATGATTTTTTTTAGCAGTCTTCAGATGAGTAGATGAGTTAGAGGAAATTCAGTAAAGTCATAAGCTGCTGGCAGCAGAAATGAGATATGATCCATGTGGTAGTTTTAGGAATGCATGAGATGTTCCATTGACATCCAGTAGGTTTTCTGCTTGTGATCTAATTGCATCTGAATTGATAACTCTCTCTATACAGTTTTTCATAGGATACTACTTCTTTCTCACCTTTGTTCACTCTTCTCCAATATACACTCTGCTGCAAGCCAAGCCACTGTTTAATATGATTTTTATCTCCCAGGTTTCTCTTTATTGCTGGGTGGTAGAGAGGTAAAGATAATAAACTTCCTATAAGAAGCAGATATGTCCACCTGTTTTACTTCCATGATTGGTTTTGTATTGTTTGGATACCAGTACGGAACTACAGACCAATAAAAATGAAAAAAGAAATTACAATTGCAGTGTATAGTTTAGGATTTGCTTTTATAGAGCATTACTTATTGCTAGAAATCTTTTCCGATGTAGCACAGCAATTGCACAAGCAAATGTAGCAGCATTCATGTACTTAGTAATACAAGCTTCTGTACAACCTGGAATGCTAGCAAAATCCCAGATGAGATCTGTGCACACCAAAAATCTACAATTAAATACCCACATTCTTTCCCATTCCTGGAGAAGTTCTGTGGCATCTTCTTGTGCATTTAAATAATAATTGTAATATGGCTATGAATAATATAACCAATACCGTAGCACTTATATTATATATTCTATGTATTTTTTATTTCTGCACAGTTTTGGTTTGCAATATAGTCTCTCTCTTTGGCATTGACAAGGTAATGGTAGGAAGTGGGTAGCTCTTACCCATTTAAGCTATTTTTTGACTATCTGCCTGCAAATATTGCTAGACTGGTTTCTATCCAGGTGAAGTTTTCTAGCTTTCCTTTTACTTTGAGGCTTCAAAGCCCAATTTATTTTTTTTAAAAAGTTGGGATTCTGGAGCAGAATTTTGCTGAAAATATAAATGGCAGCAGAATCATGGAATATTTGAAGCCGCGGAGGAAATAACTTACTTTATTGAGAACTGAAAGTTTGTATTTAGCTAGGATTCAGACATTCATGATATCTTTTTTTTCTGTTAAGAAAAAGCAACAGGACTTTCCATTTCAGTAGTCCACCACAGAGTGGGCATGTCTACATGTGCCCCTGCAGCACTGTTGTTACTGCACCGTCATTCACTGCTTCCTTTAGGAAGTACTAAGTGATGGCACAGTAACAGCCATTACTAAGCTGTGCCAGCGGGGCACAGTTATTTTTAGCCACTATATCGCTGTAGCGATGCACTATAGCAAGGGACCGCGTCACTACAAAGACGTAACTGCAGCGTCATGGTTTTTACCCACCAATGCTACATCACCCTAGCATGTTGCTATGGTGACATAGCATCTCATTTAGATGCACCCACTGCCACTTCAAAGGATACAGAATCATACAATCACAGAAAGATAGGGTTGGGGGTCATCTAGTCCAACCCCCTGCTCTAAGCAAGACCATCCCCAACTACATCATCCCAGCCAGGACTTTGTCAAGCCACGCCTTAAAAACCTCCAAGGATGGAGATTTCAACAGCTCTCTAGCTAACCCCTTCCAGTGCTTCAGCACCCTCCTAGTGAGGAAGTTATTCTTTCTGTAGTGGGGGCCCAAAATTGGACATAGTACTCTGGATGTGGCCTCACCAATACAGAATAGAGGGGAATAATTACTTCCTTCGAGCTGCTGGCAACGTTCCTACTAATGCAGCCCAGTATGTGCTGTTAGTCTTCTTGGCAACAAGGGGACACTTGACTCATTCAGTGTATTGTCTACTGTAACCCCCAGGTCCTTTTCTGCAGAGCTGCTGCTTAGCCAGGTGGTACCAAGCCTGTAGAGATGCATGGGATTCTTCCATGGTAGGTGTAGGGCTTTGCATTTGTCCTTGCTCAACCTCATGGGATTTCTTTTCGCCCAGTTCTCCAATTTGTCTAGGTCTCTGTGGATCCTAGCCCTACCCTCCAATGTACCTACTACTTTCCCCAGCTTGATGTCATCTGTGAACTTGCTGAGGGTGCTCTCCATCCCACGTTCCAGATTGTTAATGAAGATATTAAACAGAACCAGCCTAGGACCAAACCCTGGAGCACTTTGCCACTTGATACCAGATGCCAACTAGACATCGAGCCATTGAACCCAATGATCCAGCCAGCTTTCTATCCACCTTACAGTCCATTCAATCAACTCCTTAATGTGCTTGCAAGAATGATGTGGCAGACCATATGAAAAGCTTTGCTAGAGTCAAGGTATATCATGTCCACTGCTTTCACCATATCCAAAGAACTAGCCATCTCATCATATGTCTGCATCAATGGAATCAATTGACTCAAGCTAAAATAAGAGAATATGATCACATCACAAAATAATGATCTGCCCTAAGCTATCCATCATGGAAATTGCTTTGACTTTGGTCCCATTGGACACACATGCACATGCACATGTGTGTATGTATTGGAGTGTTGGGGGAGAGGGGCCATTATATCTGGATCAGGGAGCTGTGTTGTTAACGATAGCAATTAAGCTGGACCTCAGGATATCTTGTGACAGGCATTAATTATGCAACAGACTTGTCTCTCTAAGACTGTATTTTGAAGCTCACATCTAAGTGACATGGATTCTCCATGCTTGGAAACTTTCAAAAGCAGGTAAGACAGACACTTGGCTAAGATGGTTTAGTTGGGGATGATTATGCCTTGAGTAGTGGGTTGGACTAGGTGACTTAGAAATCACGGGAAAGTAGGGCTTTAGAGCGTAGATCCTGTGATGGACCCAGCAGGCCGTGGTAGAACCCAAGAGGCAGGACTGCTTTCGGTTAAGCCAGCCTTTCTAACTCATATAGAGGACAAAGCTGGACAAAATCTTCTCAGTGAAATGTTCAATGAAAAGTTCAAAGCCCTGCAGGGATCCCAATGTGGGTCTTGCATGTCCCAGAGAAGTGCCCCGTCTATCAAAAATTTGGTGGGAGTAACTCTCTTTTTTGTGTAAAATGTAAAAGGAATTTTCCAGCCTGCTCAGCTGTAGAACAAGATGCGTATGTCCATGTCTGTCCAGGCTCCTTTTTGATGCACTCAGATGTATACAGGTGGTAAATGTGGCCTCCAATATTCTTCCCTATAATGAAGTGTTTTCTTTCCTCTAGCACCTGGCTCAGGCACAGTCTCATCAACAATTCTGGGCTCTCACCAGATACTCAGTGGAGTGAAATTAATTTGACATATTAACATGTTTGCTTTTCTCTAATTTCACCCTTCAGAAACAGCTGTTGAAAGTGGTAGCCTGTTGGCCACTTCCATCCCAACAATATGGATTGCCCAGCATTAGTGTAATCATTAGAGCTTTAATTGCACCATTATCTCTTGCTAAAAGGGTCCTGACAACTCAGGGCAAAGCTTCTGAGATGCAACTATAGGCTGAAGGTGAAATGAGATGGAAACTGCAAACTGTTGCTTCTATCTTAACTCTCTTAAAGACCTGTTGATGCTACCAGGAAAGATTTAATGTGCCCAGGCAGCAAAAAATTTTGGGCAAGGGACTGTTGAGGGGGTGGAGTTCTGACTAACTCCTGTGTCATTTGAGTTACTATAAAGGATATAAATATGGCAAATGAAGGATGTGGAAGTTACAAGGAAACACACTAGTGTCTCTGAGCAATCTTCACTTCTCTCACTTCCGCTCACTAAGGTAAGCTGATTTTCTTCTCTTTTAGGTTTCCTCTCCAGCTCTTTTTTGCGGTTCAG